AATCAATGCAGCTGTAGTACAGACCGGAATATCTTCTGTGGTCAACTGTAAATAGCAACTCTGTATCCATGGTTTATTTTTACCATAGTGTGCTATAATAGGAAAAATAGCAAATGGTAAGTCTATATATAGCCTGTTACCAAGACTGTGAGCTAAATGATTAGTCAACAGTAAAAGCCTATCCTAATCAACAAATGGCTTTAGGTCCAGTAATAATATTTTGGATATCAAAATAATGTATACTAGGTAGTAAGAGGAATTGCAGGAGTGCAGCTAATATTTTATGGGTTTTTAATGGCTCTTTTTAATGTTAAGTAGGAATTTTGTGAATCATGCTGATTTTAACAGACTGGATATGGATAGCAGACTCTATATTGCTGTACTTATATTGCCTGACTTTTTATTTTTTGCCTCTTTCTTTTGTTGGACCAGCAAAAATTAATTTTCCTTTTAGTGACATTAATTAACCATTAAATTGTGAATAGTTCAGGAAAGGAGACCCCCCTCTCTCTGCCTTGTTCTTTATTCCTAAACTTACTTAAAAACTCACTATAGAAAAGTATAAATTTTATTCCAGACTTGAAAATATGATGTTCTTTTATATTTTATGTAAAAGTATTTTATGACTGACAAGGTTAGGAAAGTATGTAACAAAATTCTTAGATAAGTCTTCAAGGTTACTTCACATTAGACATGATAGGTAGGAAGAAAATACAGACAGAAGTCAGTTTTCCTTATCTTTTGTATAAACAAGCTGGTATTTAATTCAAGGCCTTTTCCTTAACTTTTGGCATACCAGATCACTATCAGGCAGTCACAGGGAGAGATATGCAAACGTGTTGTTGTTGACTGAATTTATGAATTGGATTCCAAGGAAAGCAGGCTCCTGCATTCATTCCATCTTTGTGCTTGCCTGCCATCCCTTGCCTTTCTCCCCTTCACAATCATTTGTGACTTACCTTACTAGTCTTAAACATGTTTCATGAAAAGTTGGAGGTCTGTAATTATAGTAAATTCCTATTTTTACAAAACTCGAGGGTAGAGGAGAGAATGGCCTGCTTGTGGGGCAGTCTATCCCAGGGCAAAGGAAAAGCAAGGGAAACTGTCCTTACCTGGGTTTGGGACCATGCTGTGGACTGGCCTGCAGCTTTCTCCTGTGAGCCAAACACCTTTTCCTGCAGGTGTAATGGGGACCCAGCCCCCTTGGCACTCCGTGGGGTAACGCCAGAGTGGGCCAAGGCATGGTGAGACACCAGTCATGTGGGGAGTTTTAAGGAGGATCGAGCTGCATGCGTGCTTGGGAGACTTTATAGATTTTGTTTGTTTTGGTGTGCCAAGCAGGTGAATGGAACTACTGTGGGATGATAATTTCACATCAAGGGAGAGAGCACAAAGGACCCTGTCTGTGTGAAATAAATGGGAGCTACCATGGTGGAAGGATAGAAAACACACGGGGAAAAGAGCTGGCTTGTGAAAAGCACCACAGACATGATGAAGGACTAGGGGTGTTTTCTTTGGGGAGTGTTCATGGCAAGTATCTCTTGGAGAACACACACTATTTATTAATTCTGCTGCTTTACAGTAGCATCATGTATTCATTACAATGAGCTTTGTTTAAATGAGCCTGATCGAATACCTTCTGAAGGAAATGCTGGTTTTATTTGCTATCAAAGGAATGAGATAAGGTCCCTGCTATAACATAGGTAATTTATTTGCATGATGTTTATGAATGACTTTGAAGTATATTTGTAATTTAAATCCCAACATTAATAATACCTGTTAGAAATGCAGACATGAGCTTCTCAAGTAATTTTTATTCTTCTTAGTTTTATTACAAACGATATACAACTGAGACTGGAATGATATCTTAGGAGTTTTTTTGTTCATATTTTTAGGGGCTTGAGAACTTCTTTGTGTGTGTTTATACAGCACCTAATAGTTGTCCATGCCGTCATGATTCCTGATTTCATTGCAGTATAAGCAATTATAATATATATTATTTTATCTGTTTATAAAACTGTATTATAATATAAAATAATTATAATACTCAAAAACTAAGTATGGTCTTCATCCATTCTTTGGTCTAAGGAATTGTATTTGATGTTGATGCCAGTTCTGCAGAGAAGGGAGTCCTAATTCAGGCACATAAATTTGTAAAATGGATAAAATACTTCAGAAGAAAAAGAGTAATTCAGTTAGTTTGCTCCTACATTTTTAGGGTTGGGCTACATTAAGCCCTTTCTTACTCAGCTGCCTTCTTAGTGTTAGTCCTGCTGTTGGAAGAAATCATGGGAATACTCATGTAGAATGTCTGCAACTTCCTCATCTCCATCTTGTCTAGACACCAGCAATCTCATAGTATATTCATGCCTCCAGAACATCTAGACTTCTCTTAACTGGGAACTCTGAATGAGGTAGGAGAACAGAGGGAATCTGTTTTCCCTTTCAAAGTTCCTTCTTTGCCAGTGGCTAGGTACAGTATTGTAATGAATACTAAATCAGTGTCATATTTCACAGCATGGTTCTCAAATTCATGTCACAGGGGAAACGTGAGAGAGTGTTATTTATTCCAATGTCATTCACTAAAAATACTACTAGAAATTATAAGAGATGAATAAACTGATCTTGAAAAATACCGTGGTATATGTGTTATCCTACTGATGTTTTATTTTCAGTTTAAATGTACTTAGAAAGCTTTCTGGCAATTGCACAAGATACAATTTAAATTTCTGTGAGAGAGGCATGGAATTAGTCCATACTTTTTTTTTTTTTTTGGCACTGTCTGCCCCACTATGTAATAAAGCTATGTACCTAACTTCTTCTCTTTCAGACATCTTGAGTTTTTTATACCCTTTTCTTTCTTCAGTGGCATAGGTGGAGGACAGTCCTGCTCCATCTTCCTCAGTTACTACTCAGGGTAGTTTTTGAAGTGGGGATTGTGATATTAAATAGTTTCAAATGAAACGAGAAAATTTCTAAACATTCTATTTTTTGCTTGGAAAAATTTTCTTTTGTTCTCGTCAACTGTTGTTTAAGGGAGAGGTACAAGTGGCAGATTAGACTGTTTACCCTAAGTTTTTCCAGAAAATGAAATATATGTGTGAAGGGGGAGAGGGAGCATTTCTTGGCTCTGTTTCTTTGTATTGCTGTTACAACCATAATATAGTACCTGTATTTTATTTCTAAGAATCCTTTTCCTTACTTTAAAGTGTCATTTGTGGCACCTTTGGCTTGAGAAATGGGAGCAAAACCTGCTCCTCTGAAATAACCTGGATAAAATACTGCCTTAAATATTTGTTTTAAAGGATGTGGAGACAACCTCTGCATTCCAGGAGTATTAAAGCCAAGTAGAGATGTCAGACTTCCCTTCATTAGGTGAAATTGGTGAACTGTAAATAATAATTGGTCTGGCTATAGCCAAATACCCTGTAGAACAAAGCTGGACACTGGCCACGTGGCATTTGCTATCTGCCTGACCTCACCTGTCCTTGAACTGGAAAATGAGACATCTTGCGGGATTTCTCCTCACCACTTTCTGAGGCACTCATACCATACTCCATCTCAGGCATCTGCTGGCTCCTTTTCCTGGGTGGTTTTTATTTTTTATTTTTTATTTTTTATTTTTTTTGGCATAGCCTACAAACTGCTGTTTATGCTATGGACACATCTGGCAGTACTGCTGGTGAGCCACTGTGGCCTGTGGGATGATGCTTGGAAGAGCTCTGCATTAATCTGTTGTACAAAGGAAGATGTTCTATTGCAGTTTTTCCATGACTCAGAAAAACAAAGAAACCAAAAAGGTCATATGGTGGTGTGTGATTTGTTTTGTGGGTTCATTCAATAATGCCATTGTGCATTTGGCCCGACTGCAGTGAGTCAACTGGGTTGGATTGACTCAGACAAAGTAGAGGACTTGCACAACAGTAGGACTTCAGTCATTCTAAATTCCCTTGCTAGTGCACATCAAAGAGACGAAATTACGTACGGAGTGCAGATTTTTCTATCAAGTGGGAGTGTAATACTTGCACATCTAAAATCAGTTTGAAGTGGAATGTGAGCATCTCAGTGTTTTTATGGGACTTGCCTAGGTGTTTTACTACCTTGAACTTCCATTAGTTAGGCAAATAAACCTACTGTCAGGAAAGGATACAGAAATAGGCTTGAGCATGTAAGCTTTTCTTGTATTGACTTGGCTGGATCTACTTGGATCCATCAGATTCAAGCACATAAACAGCAGAAAGTCGAATTTGTAAGGTGGTGAAATTGCAGCTGCCACATGGTGCTCTGGAGCCTGAAACCTGCTGCTTGAATAATTACGCGACAGCTTCCCCCGCTTTGCCGGGCAACTTGTGTGCCTTGGCACCGCAGCCGCAAGCGCCGGCACTTTTCACCTCAGCAGCTTTCCCGGGTCACCCGCGGCGGCTGCGGGAGCAGCTCCGCCGTCCTGCCGTGACTGACTCCGAGCTTCCCCTCAGCGCTGCCCTGCAGCCGGCTGCCCACGGGCACCTGCACTTCCTGAGGGAGGGCTGGGCGCCGCTGCCTCGCCCCTCACAGCCGGGTGAAAGGCTCGGCCGCCCGGCAGCGCTGCCCCGAGGCCACGGGGTGGCCGCGGGGGAAAGAGCCGCCCTCAGGCGGCGGTGCTGCCCTAGGCTACCCTTGCCCGGCGGCGCAGCGCCCACAGCGGGGGGACCAGGCGCGGAGGCGGAACGGCCCGGCCCGCAGGGACGCCCCGCGGGCGGGGAGGGTTTCGCGGGCGGACTACACCTCCCGGCATCCCCCGCGGGCCGCGGCCGCACTGAGCATGCCGGGAGCTCGGCAGCGCCGCGGCCTCCATGATCTTCCCCTCCTGCCGGCGCGGCAGCGCCTGCTTGTCTCGCGGTGGGCGGGGCTTTCTCGCAGCCCCCCCCAGCTCTGAGCGACGTCCACACCACCCTATCAGCGCCGGCTGTAGCGCAGCTGTAGCCAATCAGCGGCGCGGGGGGGCGGGCCCCCGCCGCGGCCGGAGGTAGCGGTAGTGGCGGCAGCCGGAGCGCGGCCGTGCTAGAGCGTGGGCCCCGCGTTGAGGGGCAGTGAGATCGCTCGGGAGCTGTGCGGCTTCGGCGGGGCCCGGGGGCTCGGTAAGCGGCCCTGGGGGGCCGCGGCGGCGCCGGCATGGAGCAGGCAGCGCCCAAGAGGTAAGGACCCTCCCCGGCGGCCCCTTCCCCGCCCGGGAGCGGTGGCACGGCCAGGATGAGGCCTCGGTCCCGGGGTCTGTGAGGGGGCGGTGGGACAGGGACGATGCTGAGCCTTGCTTGGCGGCCGGAGGGCTCTGTCACGGGGGGAAGGGTTTTCTGTAGGGTGGATGCCCCGGCGGAGACGAGCCCTTGGGGGCTGCTTGAGTTGACAACATTTTTAACGTGAAGTGAGGGAAACTTGGTCGCCGAGCAGAGCCCTCTCTGCCCTGAGGGTCTCTCACTCGGTGGTGCAGGTCTGTGGCAGGAGCACACATGAGTAGTTCTCTTTTCACGTTGGAAAGCGTCCTTGTGCTCTGCTGCTGGAGGGATGGATGCTTGTGGGGGTGGGCGTTGCATAGTTGCAATTGCAAATCAGGGAGTGGGAAGAGGCAAAACCCAGGAATATTCCCACAGTAGATGTATTTTCTCCAATATATTGGCTCTCAGGTTATGTTACTTACTGTGCACGTTTTAAAAAATAATTTACCGTTTGACTTAGTGCATAAAACAACTTTGCTTTGTGTTAAATTTAAGTTTAATCATGTATTTCAGCTGGAACAAGATATAGTTGTACAATACACTGGCTGTAGTTGTGTGGTGTACAGAATGTAGCTACATGGTTTACATATATATTTACTGTCTTTGAGCTCTGGTTTTGCTTTTGCTTCCTGATAATGAAAAATCTACACAATAGGGGGCTACACAATATAAATTTGTGATAAAAGATATTAGATAAGTTTTCACATTCATCTTTAAAACCTGTACATTTCCCATTTAGAAAAGAATCTTTAAAAGTAGCTTCCTGTAGGATTATAGGACTTGAGAAGAATGTAGTTTTAAACATCTGATGACTTCTCCAATAACACATCAAGTGACAGTACCTACTGTGGAAAACTTTGAAAAAGAATTGGCTTGCAGTTGCTATCTAGGGTGGTTTTAGCAGGCAGTGGGGTAAGAAGGGACAGGCCTGCCGTGTACTTTCAGGCTGACAGTGCTGCATATCTCAAATGAAGGAAGTAGGACGGGCGCCAGCAAAAATTTAGGAAGAGAAATGGAAATGTCTGTGGTGTAATCAGTGTCACCAGCAGCAGTGGAAGCCTTGGGAACTGGTGGTATCACAGGACTGAAAACCATACTGTGAAGTTAGCGTGACCTGCCGGATGTTTTGGGGAAGATGTGGCGTTTGCTGTAACTTTGTTGCCTAGCTGGAGGTGTGTGTCTGGCCTAACTGAAACTAAGAGGTGTTTAAATCATTGGATTAGCTCAGAAAGAACTAGATTTGGGAATGTCTAAACTCTGGCGTGTTTTTATATTCCACATGGGTTTTGAAGCTTTTTTTCCTGGAAATTTGTGATGAGAACTCAGGTTTGTTTCTTTAGTGGAAGGGGAAATTTGAACTAATTTTTTGTTAGTATTAACTCAGGTTATTTCTTAAGATTTGAAGCAAAATTTTCATGTCTGTGCTTAATATCGCCTCTGTTGGTAATTTTGTACAGTTTCCCAGTTGTTGGTGTTCCCAGCTATTCTAGGCCACCCCCTTTTTCTGCAAGTCTAGAAGAAATGCAGATTATTTTTTGTGGGCTGAATTTTTAGTGCTGACCTTGGAATGGGCCTTGTTTACTTGGCAGAACAGATGTGAACACCAGAATTCTTTACTTTGGTGGCTGTTGTTCACAGGAGCAGTTACTGGGAGGGATCTCTTGGCATCATATCTGTGGTGCATCTGTTTACAGGTAGCAAGAATTTCATATGTACACTAAAAAGCTGCAGGGGTGTCCTGGAATCCCAGTGTTGCCTTACAGGTGTAGGGCACTTTTATCTCCACTTCCCTGTAGAGAAGCACACAGTGCCATTGTCTGTTGCGTGAATCTGTAGTGCAGCCCTTCAGAAAGCAGCAGTGGTGATGCCCAAGTGACATTCTGGGCCATTGTGACTTTTTAATGGAGGCGCTGTCAAAACAATTCAGTTTTTCCCTTGGCTAACACTGCGCTGCAATAGTAACACAATACTTTTAAGGAAGAGTCCTTTTCAGAATGCTTTTTACTTTAGAAATAATTTAGAGTAGATTTTCTGATTTTATGCTGAACAATTTGTGCAGTAGTTGACACAGTGTTTTCTTGCATCTTAAATCTTTAACTGTACTTTAGATGTGCTTTATAGTTTTTTCTCTCACTAGAAAGGAGATTTGCTCTTGAAATAGTTACAAAATTTGCCTCTTAGTGTTGCAATTTTCCTTTGTTGTTACTGTTTTGTTTTTCTGTATCCTTGGCAAGCTCTTATGTGAGGATGCAGGTTGCATGCAAAGGGAAAAACAAAGTAGTTATGGACAGAATTTTCTCAAGTACATAGTTTTTAATCGTGCCCACCTCCTGCATGCTGCTGCCAAATGAAAGGCTGCTTAACAAGCATGGGAAGTGTTAATGAAGGTTTTCCAGTCTTTCCTTAAACTTGAGTTTTAAATGTTCACTGAAAGCCACAACTTTTCAGCTTTTGTGGGAAGAGTTCTTAGAATGCAAACTGCTTGTGAAAAAAAGTGTTTTTTAATGTTTGTGTCAGTGGACATGTTGGCAATTGTCCAGTTCCTCCTGCAAATGATGGGACAGAACTGTTTGGGCAGAAGGCTAAGTGCGCGTACACAGCACGGTGGCGTAAACTGTCTGAATGTGGCTTCTGCCTGGGTGAGTGCTGTGAAGCAGAGCAAATCTCTCATGGCTTCCACATGCCACCTCTACTTCAGATGGCTGCAGTGATTTCTCCTACTACCTCCTCTTTTAATATGTCAGTATAATTGATCCCAGCCATTCTTTGTAAATGTTTCAATGTGCTAGTTCTTCTGCACAATAAACCACACATATTCATGTTTCTTGGAGAGGCTGTCCAGTTTTTTGTAACTCATGACAGTAATTGATGGTTTTCTATTCTTTATTCCAGCTTTATTTTTATTTTTGAACTTTCAGGGATTTTTTATCCCTACCTCTGTAGCACATTACCAATTTATTTGTGAAATCTGTATATGATGACTGTAGGGTACTATAGTCATACTTTTTTTTTTCCTTTCATTTTTTAGGGAGGAAATCTCTAGCTCTTTCATATTGCAGTTCAGGATTTACTGATCTTTATGCTGCAATTGAGTGCCTCCTAGGTTTTCCTTTTCTAGAGTTTTGCTGATGCACTCAATGGCAAATAAGGTTCTGGTGAGACTAGGAATTGTTTTCTTGTATTAACTGGATTTATAAAAGTACAATTATTTGCTAGGATGTATTTTCCTTGTTAAGAGACTAAGTGTTGTGTGGAAAGTCAAACCTTCTTGGAATAAGAAAATAGTTTTCACAGGTCTTTCCCAGAGGTGTAGTTGAGTTAGTCCTTCTGATTTAAGGAACAGCTTCCCTTCTGGAAGACTTCTAAAATAGCTCATAATCACTACCTGATAGTTTAGATTCTAGAGAAAAAAAAGTAACCCAGAACAACTTCGTGTCCAGGTTTTTTGTTGAACTTCTCTGCATCTCCTTTGGACTTTCTCATATATATATATATATGCACACACATATGGCACTGGGCACTTGCATCCTTTGGCCAGAGTAAAGCAGTGCCTGGATTTACTGATTTATTTGTTCTGTTTTAAATGCTTGTGTTATGAAAGTAGAGGATCAGTGAGGGAGAGGGGAATGAGACACATTCTGTCTTTCTCTCCTATTGTTCTTGTGCTCTTTGTCTCTTCATTTTTGCCTCCTGCCCCCTCTTCACCTTGCCCCCTTCCCCCTGCCATTAAGAGCTGATGCTCAGGTCTTAGATGTGTTTCTCTGTCCCAAGGTTGTTGCTTGCTTTTGACAAAGATGCTATTTGTGGTCTCTTCTTGTGTCCTGCTTGGTGCTTTGCAGACAGTTACACCGGTTGCCACCGTATTCCTTGTTTCTCATAGAGTTTTCATAAATGCTGTCTTCACTGCTGCCCTGCAGGGTGTATCGTGTGGTGTTCTGCAGTTCAAGAGCTGAATATTCTATTTAAACGTCCAGAAACAGAAATCATTGGAATGTCTGAGTCATTAGGATTTTTCTGTGGTTCAAAGAGCCGTGGTGTTGATGCTGTCACTTGAACAGCGGCCCCAGCGTCTGTACTGTTTCAGTGCTTGTGGAGGAGTGGGAGGTGCTTTCACAGGGTATTTCCTGATGCCATTCTTCAGGCCGTGTACTTTTCTCACTGGAAATAGGTTTTATATTAAGTGTTAAGTGTGATTTGGTCTCATCACATGTGTGTCAGAGTTGGATAATATGAAAATAATTTTAAAACTACAGAATGCTTATTCTTTTCAATCTTCTGATCGCTTCTCAGGTGTTCCAGATAATCTGTTATTTGACAATTACGTTGGTTTTGATCAGTTTGTGGCTGTTAATGATTGTTTCACTAACTCTTCTCAAACACTTGCAATGCTTTTCCATTAATGGTGCTATTGGAACCCTTTTGGTGTGGATTTTTTTTTTTTTTCTTTTTCATTTTAGCAGGTGTTACTCTTTCAATGAGCAGGTGGAATTGTTCTCTTTGTGGGCATCTCCAGTCAGGGGTACTGTATGCTTTCTCTTTTCTTGCTGTTACTAAAAAGTTCAGTCCCACTGCTTTTGTGTTTAGTACATCTTTTTTTACTCAGCTCTTTGACTCAGCTAAAGGTTATGCTTTTTATTTTTCAGGGCTCTGCTTATATTATAAACATATTGTGCATGGGGTTTTTTGGTGGCAAGAAGGGGATGATGGCAGCAAGTTATTCTTGAATGCAGTCTTTAAGGCTGCATATAGTCTGTTCAGAGAGGAAAAAAATTTGGAACAAAGAAGTAAAATGAATGATTTATTACTTTAATACCTACCAGCAAAATATTTTTCCTCTTTGATTTGTCTCAACATAAGCTTTTTCAGTAATGAAATATGTGCTTCTCTGCAAGGTATAAGTTCTGTCTTTCTGCTTTCTAGTGTCTAATCAAAATGAAAACAGTTTTGTTTGTGTAGGGTAGTTTTGCAGACATTATTTAGCTGTTTTCATTTGATTTTTTTGCTGTTTTTCTCCATGTTGTGCCTTTCCTTTGCTGTGAAGATTTTTATTTTCCCTAAACACCCAGACTTTCCAGCTTTTTGACTGTTTGCTGTAGCAAACTGCGTGGTCTTTATTGTAGTTAATGCACCTTTCCTCTCTGATTGTGGTTGCTTTTTGTGTTCATGAAATTGCTACATCTGTGAAATTGTTCTTTGATGTATAAATGTGTGCACCCTTGTTTAACACCAATCCATATGTGTGCTTTTCCAATTACTTTAAATTCTTTGCTTTTACTTAGATGGTTGGCAATCACAAACCTGTTTTGACACATGAGTTCCCTCATTGGTCAGTCACTTATTTTTATTGATTTTGTATATCACAGAATTGCGTCTCCTAATATGAAGGTTTGGGTTTTTTTTTTCAGAGCACTGTTCTTCCACTATTAAGATTTGTCAGTCTTTTCTGTCCATGCCCTCCATCCCCTATTGTATATATGTTTCTAGAAAGTGTTGTGGGATAACTTACTTTCCATAAGTTCTCAATGATCTGCTGTTCTTCAAAGTTTCCCTTTTTTATTTCCCTTTTCCCCCTCCTGCATATGGAATACATTGACTATATTTAACACTACAGCACCAGCTTTTCTTCAGCTCATCTTCTGCTTTATTAGTACTCTTGGCTGTCATGTAGAGTCAACTTGTTACTTCAGTCTTGCAGCAGAATTCCCTATAACTTCATGGTGAAGGGTTTACATGCTGCAGCCACGCATCCCTGCTGCTGTGTGGTTGTATTTTCCTGCGCCGTGTTCAGTGGTAGCTCTAGAGCGAGCTTGCAGCCGAGTTGTGTTTTGAGATTTGCCAGGAGTCTGGGGGCCTGGATAGCTGGGAATACTAGAGACCAGGGAAAGGCTAGGACTGCTTGTAAAGGACAGCAAATGGTAAAAAGGAGTTCAAAGTGCTGGAAGAAATCATAGGCTGTTACTGAGTGATTTGAGACTGTGTGAGAGAGAGCTAAAGGCAGATGTGGTGGTGGTATGTAATTCGAGATTTCGTTGCATCCTGTCCCTGTGTGCATTTACAAAGATGCAAGAGAAGCTGCCCCAACAGCTCTTATGGTACTCAGCTTTTGGAATTTCAGTCTTCTGCTGCTACCTGGGAAGTGCTACCATATGCTCCCAGAATCATCTTGAGTTCAGAATTCTGCTACTAATGAGGTCGTTCACTGGCTGATGGGGGTGCAGTTTAGAAACTAAGTACTTCATGTGGATGAAAGATTGGTTTATAAATAGAGAACAGTGTGGCATCCCCTTAGCAGTAAGGGGCATGAGTTTGCATGCTGACAGTTTTTTGAGGGAAGGTAAACTTTCCTGCATTTTTGTCTGTTTCAACAAAGGAAGTAGTTTGAAGAGTGAATTGGTCCCATGCTGCTTTGAATTGAGCAAACATTAATGGGAAAGTGATAATGACAAAAACTGTCCTAACTTTAATTAATCTTATATGACAGTTGATTAAAATTTGGTTGCTGTTACACATTAGGTATTCTATTTTCATTGGAATATATTTTCTTTGTAATAATTTATTCTGTCTGCTTGCTTGTGTAAACATTTGCTTGAGTTCTTTCTCTCCCCTCAAAAATAAATAACTTTTGCCTTTCTTTTAGCAAACTGAAAAAGCTAAGTGAAGATAGTTTAACTAAGCAGCCTGAAGAAGTCTTTGATGTTCTGGAGAAGCTTGGTGAAGGGTAAGTACAGCTATTTACAGGGGCATAGGATCAGAGGGAAACAATACATAAAGCATATGTTGGAATATTAAGTTACAGAGTGAGTGACTGTAAATGCCTCTATAGACAAGTTTTACTGCTAAAGCAAATGCATGCTTTAGTAGATTTCTACACTTTTCCTTATATATTTATGCATTTTTTTAATGTCTGTTGTTTGTTAACACAGCAAATGTACTTGCACCTGTAATGGAATTAGAAATTCTTAAGTCTTGACAAAAATTTCTGCTGTCTTGACAAAGCATTCTTCTGTCTTTCCTGAGGTCCTGGTAGAACTGATCTTTTTGTTGCCTGAAAAATGCTCAAATTGCTGCATGAACATATGGCTTTTGTGACTTTTTGTGCATAATGGAAACAGAAGCAGTTTGCCTTATTTTTTAAAAAAATTGTCTCTTATTTTTAGGTCTTATGGTAGTGTGTTTAAAGCAATACACAAAGAATCTGGACAAGTTGTAGCAATTAAGCAGGTCCCTGTGGAGTCAGATCTTCAGGAAATAATTAAAGAAATCTCTATAATGCAACAATGTGACAGGTAGGTATGAGATTTCTGTTCCCTTTCTAAGAGTCTATGTGGAAATGTATTTGTACTTGTGAAAATAGTTGAAATGTAAGCAGCTGCCAACCTTTTCATGGAAGGTAAATTGTCCAACACAGACTTTTTAATTAAAGGAACCATGTTGTGGACCTCCTCCTCTCCTTGCTTTGGATTGAAGGAAGTACAAATCATGTACATAACAAAAACTGTTGAAAGAATAAATTCTGGCCTCTGCTTAGAATTCTCCCTGCTTGCCTCACTTTATTTGCACTGTTAAGGCCAAAGGTTACTTTAAATATCTTGGGCTTTATGAGATTCTGAATCCACCTGTTTCAAAAGATTGATAAGGATGTTTCTAGCAGAATATGAATGGCTAGCATTTAACTTCCAGAAAAATCTTTTCTTGTCTTTTTCCTGTGGGAATGTCCCTTTGAACAGTCTTGTGAAAGTGCTGGTGGATTGTTACCTTACACTTGTTCACAGGTCTTATGATTGCAGGTTTTGTAGAAGAGGAAGCCTTAATGCAAGGATGCAGAAATTGCTGTGCTATTTCTGTTGTCTATGGAGTTTTGGGCTGTAACTTCAAAATCAAATTTATTAATGTCAGTCTTCAGGCACATATGAACAGTGTTTTGAAATTGCACAGCACTTGATGTTTTGAAAAGATAATCTTGTCCTGATTGATAATAATACCCAATTGTTGCTGGAATTCCTGGCATAATATAAATCTGCTAAGAGATGGTCACAAAAATCAGTGGGTTTTCTTTAGAAGTAATATAGCCTTCTTCACTGCATGAATTTATAAGGAGCAAGATCAATGTGTCATGCTTGTAAATGCTAGACATTTGGGCTAGTTAGGAGGAGACTGACCCACCTTTGCTTCTGAAAAGGCAAATTCATTTAGTGCTAACAGTTGCTCTTAAATGAAGTAGTTTTTTGATAGTGTTGACCTGTCTTTTTGTAAAGATATCATGTTGAAGGAGGCAACCATAGGTCCTCTCTTCTTCTAGTACCAGTCTGTATGAAGAATGTTGCTGCCAGAAATGCTGATCCTAAAATACAGCTCCTTGCTCCAAAACAAAATGGTGTTTGGTTCTACCCCATAATGGAGGTGTTCTGATTCACTGTCTGAAATCTGAGTATCTCACTTCCTGACTTTGTGGGAGATAGATCACAATCAAACTGTAGCCCTCTTTGTTTCAGTTCCTGCCAAAAACCCTACCCCAAACCTACACCTAAATATACCATCTAATAACTTATGAGGGATGATTTTTTATGTTTACTACATCTGTTTCTGCCTTTCTTTTGCAAGTGACTCCAAGGAAGCATTATGTCAAGTGACAGACTGATGAGAGTAGCAAAGCAATACCTTCTACCACATGGTTTGTGACCCTACTATCACTTCACATGAGATGCTTCAGTATGAAAAGCATTTGCAAATCCAGCAGGCTTCAAACCAGCACTAGATTATCTTTAATGAGAAAGTCTAGTTCTGTGCTTGAAGTAAATTCATTCTTGCAAAACTGGGGAAACATGGTTCAGTTTCCATGTGATTTTGCTCTGGAGAGAAGAAAACAAGGCAGTCTTTCTAAGAAGAGAAGCATTCAAGAGAGGCCTTAGAGGAGGGAAGAACAAAGCTTTTTATCAGATGACTGATGTTTGGGAAAACTATGTCTGTATTTGAAGGTTGTAGAAAACCTATATACATAGTAATGCCTTTATAATTTTATTAAGTAATCATAATTTACTCTAAAAAGGCATTGGTTAAGCTAATTACAGATATAAAATGTGTTTGGTTGCACTTTTTCTTTAGCTGTGTCAAACAGTTTTTAACAACAGGTGTGCTGGTGATGTATTTTTTCTTCTACTAGGAATTCATCTGTTTATCTAACTTTTTTTCCCATTTAGTCCTTATGTTGTCAAGTACTATGGCAGCTACTTTAAGAACACAGATCTATGGATTGTTATGGAATATTGTGGAGCTGGCTCTGTTTCAGACATAATTAGACTGCGTAATAAAACGGTGAGTTTTTTTTTAAATATAAAGCAGTTCATAAAATCAACTTGTGAATTAAGATTGGAAGCCAGAAAAAAGGCTGGAGTTACAAGACACGATCTTGGCTGATGCCAAGGGGCCTGTCTGTGCCTTGGTTCCCAGGAAACAAGCTCATGCACTTACTGACTGTCATTGTGCATTCCTCTGTGGAGTGGTCACCAGCAGAAGCAAATGCATTTTGAAATACAATTCTTGGGAATTTCCTGAAGATTGCTGCTTTGTAGAAGGCAAAACTGGCTTCTTTCCCCTACCCCTTCCACCTTAGAGTTTGTCAGCAGCCACTTAGTAGCTGCATAGTTTGGAAACAGGTGTAAAATTGTCTTGCTCTAACTCAGTAATTAGGGAGCATGAGGAGTAACTGGCTCATGAGTTCCTTGGGTAACTCATGGAAGTTGAAGGGGAAGAGATGCCTTCACTTCCTTGAATAACTCAAGGAAGGAGAAGGGGAAGAGATGCCAACTAAGGAATGTGGGAGGGAACCAAAATGGGGGTTGTATGGAAGTGTCTTCATGGACTTAAAACAGCAATAATATAGAGGAAGCCCGTAGGAAGCAGGTGTTGTTAGTTCTAATTAAGAAACAGCTTCTTTGAAAAGTGTTTTGCTGTAGCTGTCAAGCAACTTTGAACTCCTTTGAGCCCATTGTTTTCAGTAATGGGCTGAAACTTGAGGTATTCTTTTTACCAGCAAGTACTCTGAGGTGACACTACTTGCTGGGTTTCACATTTTGTAAACACTCCCTGAAATGTTCCTTGGTCCTTAATTGGGAGCAGAGGGGGAAAGTATAGGAGAGAAAAGCAACGTTTAGAAAACAAGACATAAAAGGAAATGGAATTAAGTTTATTAGGAAGTGGAGGTGATGTGGAGACTAAAGGGAGCCCCTTTGGAAAAGGTAGCTTTTATTGAGGCTGCTGGGATGTTGAAGTGACAGGGAAAAGCCAAAACCAATGTCAGATTGCTGGAGTTCTGCAATCTTCAAGATTGGTGCTGTATATTAAAAATTCTTGTATATAAAAAAATTTTTGCTGCTGTATATTATCCAAGGATCAGTAGCTCCAGTAAGAAATGGCACAAGCTAGTCCAGAATTTAAAAAACAAAAACAAACCATAACCCATTTATAGAATTTAAGAAGAGAAAAAAAAGGTGCAAACTTGTTTGTGCATTGATAGAAAATGCTTGAATTTTTATTTTAAAAAAGGTGTGTGTATGAATGTGTGTGTACTTATATGAAATTAGGCTATCTAGTTTTCTTATATCTGTTGTAGGATATTGACATAGTAAAATAATTCAAGATTTGAGGGGAAGGGATGTTGGAGTCTGATCAGACAAACTATGTCTTCTACTGCTGTTTGTTAAGGTACATATGATTAAATAGCATGAATTCTAAGACAGACAATAATCAGTAAATGCATGGGTACCAATGATAAAGCTTTTGTAAAGGCAAGTCATGGAGTGCATGGCTAGTAGAGTTCTGGGGAGCAGTTGATAAGGACACAATTAATGCTGGCTGCTGTAAATTTGGTTGGATGTGCTGAAATGTTTTTGGACAGACTTCCACACCAGAAGCTCTTCAAGCAAATAAAGCTGTAATCTGGAGTAAATGGGAAGTTCTGTCGCAGGTGGGTAATTGTTTTAAGTATAAGAAAGAGGGTGTTTTGGTCTGCTACATGGGTTGTTGTCTGTCCTGTTTCAGTAAGAGGGTAGAAATACTGGTGAGAGAGGTTGTATTCCTAGTGGTGGAAACTGGCAAAGACTTGAAAGGCTTTGTAGTACTGAGAAAATAAGCACAACTAAATGTGAAGAAATACAGTTGGCTTGGTGAGGAAGGCAAAGTCTTTATATTCAGGTTCATGAGTGCTTGGGCTTAACTTTTAGAAATAGTTGAATAAGTAAAGTGGTTGTCAGAGGTTACAGTGGTACCAAGGACACAGCAGAACTATGGAGATTAAATAAGGTAACAAGACTGATCAGAAGAAAAGACTACTTCGGGCTGATCAGATAGCCAGATGCATTTGTGTGCTATTTCTGTGATGAGAAGAAGTACCTGGAGGGAGAGACATGGTAAAAGGTTTTGAAAACCATGTGTAGCACCAAGAAAGTAAGATATGGGTATCTCACTGTTTATTACAAAACAAGAGATCACTTGTCACAGTAGATGCAAAGCAAAAATTTTTTCTTTGCACATGATGATGAGGGTCACTTTGTAGTTGCAGAAGTTCTTGTAGGTGCTCAGAGTTGATTTTCACAAGGCAGCTAAATAAGACCAGGAAAAAATGACTGTGCAGTCAAATGGGTAATGACTGGAGCAGGAAGTCCATGTGCTTCACATCTCTGGGAAGGTGAAGCAGACAGCTGTCACAGTTTACTTGGCATGTACTTACATTCAGGCAGGCTACCAGGCTGGACAGAATTTTCATCCTGGTGTAGAATAGGGAGTGTTCCAGTGCCTATAACAAAACAATAAGTAAAACAAACTCCTCAATTTCTCCCTTGCTATGCCTCTGTCTTGCAAGTTTTGGAAGATTTAGGCAGAGGCTTTGGATGTGTTTGAATGCTCTTGCTCTTTGTGGAACAGTGGCCTGATCACTCAGACTGTGTGTGATGGGAAACTTGTGACTATTACTGGAATGAGGCTGCTTAAAGTAATTGAGCATTCTGTTGATGACCTTACATTTTATTTTTTTGTTTATTTATTCATTCATTAAATGGAAATAAGAAATGGTTTTGTAATAAGAAAATAAATATATTCGCTTGGAAATAAGGAGAGAGTTCTTTCTTATTTTATCAGAATATTTACTGAATACAGTCAGACACATAGAGTTATGTATTCTGTAACTTTCCTAACTTGTCAAATGAAGACTGTGGCTGGGCCAAGGAAAAGTTTATTTCCTGCTTCTTCATGTTTAAGGAAAAGAAAGAGAAAGTTGAAGTAAGAACCCTTAAATGCAATGGCCATTAGGATTATCATTTGAACTTGATCTTAAAGGTCTCTTCCAACCTAAATGATTCTAGGATCATTGTTAGGTCAAATCATAGGAGAAGGAGGATTTTTCCTCCTGCTTGGGGAGGAAATGTTAATATGTATTTGCCTTTGTTGCTTGTCTCTATTTATTGATCATCTTCTGTTTTTGTGGTTTCTGATTTTCAAAAATTGTGTTTGTCTAAGAAAGTGAACAACACTGGGCTTTTTTTCACTGTTCTAGCAGATGAAAATCAAGGGAAACAGAATCCAAAGTTGGGGTAATTTTTAGTGACTGTTTGGAGTCTATTCATATGGAGAAGTTTTCAGCTTAGCAAGAGCAGGTTCTTGTCCAAGAGGCCTGAGCCATTAATTTGCAGTTAAATGGATCCCCGCAATTCTGCCTGGAGCCTTCTAGTGTGCCAGGCAGATCAGCAGCACTTCAGCAAATCCATGGTGCTTGTTAGCTCATCCGGGGTGTGGTGTTCATCAGTCCTGGGCAGCAAAGCTTAGATCTAGTTTTGTCTGCTTTTCTCAGAGACTGGTTTGGGAGGTACATGTATCTTATGCATTCAGACTGTGGGTTGCTGCCAGGAAGGGCAGTTCTGCTGCTGTCCTCTAACCTGACTGGTGTGTTCCTCCTGCCTTTTCCATGCCTCAGATGCAGTGATTGTCTGGCTGCAGGGTGATCTTCGATAAGCTTGATGATAGGATGGGGGAACTTCCTCTCTGTTCTGTTCTCCCCACCCCCTCATGAGCTAGCTCTGGACTTCTCTGGCAGCACAGTGGCTTGATCTGATGCAAGGAATGAGCAGTGTGGAAAGGGAAGGAAGAACATGTACGAGACTGACTTTCAGTGTCAATAGATGAGATAATTATTCACTGGCTGCCCTTAACATAGGGGAGAATATTTACACACAACCAACCTTGTCTCTCTAATGATTATTGAGGATGCATTTGCTTATCCACTGATCATGATTAACTAAGTAATTCTAATCCTGGCTCTTTTGGAACCAAATTCAACTGACTGAAACATACCAGGTGGTGGCTGTGTTGTAGGTTTATCAGACAAACCTGTCTTATTTGGGTCAGTATTGTAAGTAATAAGTGTAGCAATGGATAGCTGTGCAGGTGCTGTGTAGATGGGCCCAGAGATTGTGTGTTTTGTATCTAAAATTATTTCCTTTACATGCCATATAGTGCCTCATGAACTTTTGATGGTTAGCTTCTGTCATGTTTTCTTAGCTAATTACTTTTTGCCATGTGTTTAAGCTCCGCTAATTCAAGTGAATAGTGTTTTCAAATCTCTGGATGCTGTATTTAAATGTCCTGCTGGATTTGCTTTCTCTCTATGTTACCATGGGGATCCAGGGTAAATCTTTTGTTGTCTGGGCTCAAGGCATTTTGCTTGTAAGGATGTTGTTTTGCAGTCTTAAACAGTCATGTTTCTCAGTAATTTCACAGTTAAAATATTTCCGATTTGTAGGCCTTTGCTTCACTAAAGTTCATGTGATCATTAGCTGTAAAGCATCTATTAGGGCTCAGTACCTCTTGTATTTTTTAAGTAGTGTCTGTTGCAGTGTAACTTCCTCAGTTGAGCCCACATGGATTAATTAATACCCAGACAGTCCATACACCAACACTGAAATTCCTTCTGCACTGGCTCACTTGCTTATCTCATTTTGGTGTCCATGGACAAGTCCATCCTGGCTGTGCTGCTGCCATGTTCTGTCAGTGGGCCTTCCAGGGGATGAATTGATTCAATGGGCTAATCAGCTGTGTTACTATTCAGACACTGATCTTTAGGCCAACATTCTTAAATTATTTTTCTCTGCAGCCAGGTTGAGGAAAAGGAGGCAAGAACTTGATCACAATTGTCCTGGTTGCCTTATTCTGTGTTTAGCCTTACAAAGCAGTGTAGCTTATACTAGCTTCTACAAAATGCAAAGATGAGATTATTTGGTGCTTGTCTAATAAAATCCTTAGTATGGCTCTGAATGATTGACTGT